TAGTAAACTAGGTGATAATGAGAAAAGTGTTATAATTGAATAATAAAAAAAAATAAAATAAAATAAACCAGAAATTTATAAAAACTACTTTAATGAAAATGAATAAAGGTTTTGTCTACTTTGGATTGATTTTACTTAGTATCAAAATCTAAAGCCACACTTGAAACGATTTTTTAAATAAAAGGCTCCAATACTAAAATTCGCGCACTTCCATTTACTACATTGCAGCCATAAAACTTGCACACGCATTTCCAGTATTGGCTACTTTTCATTTTTTTCCCCTTCCAAATCATTTAAAAACGGAACTCACTTAATATTTTAAAATAGAAAAAATTAAATTATAAAACATGCAGGAAGAAAAAAAATTGGTGCAGATTCAAACAGAAATGAGTGAAGTGCTAAAAGATAATAAAAAAGTACTGCACTGAACACAATGGTGCACACAGGAATTGTTTTTGGAGGGGAGGGGTCCACCATTCTCGCATCATGCTCCAATAAACCTCCCAAAATATTCTTTTGATTTTATCGATTTTCGTAAACACACAACAGTACAAAATTAATTAGGTATTAATAAAAAATATTTAATTAAATTTTACGTACTATATGCATAGGATCATAATTAATCGGAAAAAAAATCAAGGGCTTTGGAAGGTCCAGACCAAGAGATTCCCTCCTTATTGTGTGCACCACTGACTGAACAGGAAAAGGTGCTTCCAGTTAAGGTCCTATTTATTAACACAAGGCGAACACTAACTTTCCTATAAATAGCTTCTTCAGCAGACAACATAGAAGTCACAGAAAGGGCACAATACAAAGACACAAGTATATTTGAATAAGGCTAAAAATTAGAATACAAGGGCTTTGAAAAATAGCCTTTGATCATATAAGTATCGTGAAATGCCGTAAAATCCGGTGTATAATGCTCTTAATATACTTTCAAGCTGCATTTTCTTAATTCTGAAGCATATTCACCGTATGATGCGCACCCCCTTTTTTACGAAGGAACCTACAACGTACGTTAGCAATCCTATTATATTTTAAAGCCATTGGTTCAAGATATTATCCAGGGATTTTGAAAAGTTGTATATATATTTCTAGAAAAACAACCCTTTAAGTTTATAACGTATGGCATTTCTTTAAATAAACAGTATTCCAATCTTTGTAGTAGTC